AAATAGAATAATTAAGAAAATAAATAATTAAATATAGTAAATAAATAATACATTGTAAATAAAAATGCAGCTTCGTCCAACATGAATCAATAAGTGCTATATAAAAAAGTGATAATAGTAATTTAAAATACACACTAAAATTCATAGAAGGGTGAAATATAAAAAAAATATATATTGTAAGAGCATGCATAAAATAAATATATACAATATATACACACACACACAAAAGTAATAAATCATTAAACCAATTGGGAGAAGCTGCATTCTAGTAATATAAACAAATAAACCCAGTAAAATTTAAAATAGATAAAAAATAAAAATTAAAATTTAGAAAGCAAATACATAAAAATCATTTATCCATTGGTGTTCCGCAGCCAGAGCCCGTTAAAAACCTGTGGAAAAGAGGCCCTGGAAAGTCAGGAGGTAAGCATTTCTAACAAATGCTAAAAAAAAAATCTTCTATTAACAAGTGGAAATGGATTCATCAACCATATTTTCCATTGAGACCAGTAGGGTTTATTGTCTTTAATAGATGAATCCATTTGCTCTCCGCTGCTCGTCTCTGGCCCGTGGTCCAATCAGTATTGTTCTCCAGGCCCATGCTCTGCACATTTTGTTGGCCATGGAGTTTAAAATGTGCATATAGGACACTGGTGCCACTCCCTTTGTTCATTTTGTAAAAATGGTGTTTGATTCTCGCATTAATGCTGTTCCTGGTCTCCCCCACATACAGTTTGTGGCAGGCCTTGCACCTGATGGCATATACTGCATTTTTGGTGGTGGATTTCAAGGCCTGCAACGGATTCACTCCAGTCCTTGCGTAGGGGTTAAAAATGTGGGGGAGGGAAATAAAACCAACCGCCGAGCCTTGAAGTGCCTCATCAGTGTGTGATTGTTTGTTTAGATTAGAGTGTACAAGTAGGTCTTTTAAGTTTTTATTCCGTTGGTAGGCAGTGATCGGCCGACACTCCCCCAGCGAATCACAGCCCTCCCTCGCCTCCTCAAAGTGGGTTTTGAAAGTTGACAGAAGGCCTTTAATGGTCTCTGTAAAAGTCACCACGAGAGGGACGAGGGTAGGGCCGGCCCGCTGAGGGATGATTTGATTGTATTTGTTTTTAAAGGTCTGGCTGACCTCTGCCTTGACACTTCTGAGGAAGCGCTTCGAGTAACCCCTAGGCCTCAGCGCACTAAAAAAGGTGCTTGTGGCCTCCTCCACATACTCCGGAAGGATGCAGATTCTGTGGAAGCGTATCAGCTGGGATTTTATCAGGCCTCTGTACGTGTGCCTTGGGTGGTGGCTGGTTTTATGGAGCAGTGCGTGGCGATCAGTGTCTTTGAAGAAGATTTTGGTTGCTAGTGTCTTGTTTTGGTCACTGGAGTTGCGGAGGAAGACGCGCATGTCCAAAAATTCACCTGTAGAATTTTGTAGATTATGTTTCAATTTTATTTTTGGGTGGTGTGAATTGAGTGTGTTGATGAATGCGAGAAATTCTTCGGGTGTGTTGCCCCAGAGGCCGAAGATGTCGTCCAGGTACCGGAAATACAGCAGTGGTTGTGTTGATAGTTTTGTGAAGGCTGTTTCCTCCCAATGGGCCAGGTAGATGTCAGCATATGATGGTGCATATTTCCGGCCCATAGCACAGCCGCACAACTGGAGATAGTGTTGATTATTGAACATAAAGTCGTTTCTGGTAAGTGTGATTTCTAGCAACTGTAAAATTTGGCGGTCGGGTCTGGATGGGTCTGGGTGTTTATTGAAAATGTTCTGTATGGCAGCTAGGCCGAGTGATGTTTCTACATTTGTATATAAAGAGTCAATATCTATGGAAAAAAGGAGGGTGTGGCTGGGTACTGGAAGGTTTCTGATTTTATGAACAAAGTCATATGTATCTTGGATGTAACTGGGATGGAGTTTGGTGAGTGGGTTGATAAAATGATCTATGTACTCTGTTATTGTATAGGTTTCTGAACCACAGTCGCTGACGATGGGGCGGCCGACCGGGACAACAGAAGGGACCGTCCACGTTCCAGGGGGCTTGTGGATCTTAGGCAACAATTAAAAAAGGCGGGGCCTGGGCTCATCAGGACCATCCAGATATTGTTTTTGTTTTGTATTGATGAATTTATGTCTGTGTAATGTGTCTGTAATCTCCCTAACTAGTGTTTGTGTTTCTAATTGTAATGATGATTGTAATGGTTTGTAATATGTGCTGTTATTTAACTGTCTGTGTGCTTCTAGTATGTAATTGTCTCTGTCCTGTATAACTATTTGGCCCCCCTTATCTGCTGGTTTAATGACTATGTGTTTGCAATTACCCAGTGTACTGATGATGCGTTTATGTTCCTGACTTGGGTGCTCTGTGTGGACGGAGGTGCCAATGTGTGAGTGCCTGGTTATCTTTATGGATGAGTTGTGCTATTATGGGTGAAATAGTGTCAGTGTTTGGTTCCCAGGTGGATGGTCTCGTGAAGAGCACAGGCTCCTGCCTTTCAGCCCCCTGGAAGTGATCTATTAGCTTGAGCCTCCTATGAAAGGCGTGGAGGTCCCTTCTGAGTTCCGGTCAGGTGGGAGGGTTGGGTGTGGGAATGAAAGTGAGCCCTTTTTCCAGTATCTCCAGTTGTGCGGCTGTGAGGGAGAAAACAGCAGAGAGATTGGTTATGTTAGATGGATGAGAGGGAGGTGTACACTTTCCTCCCGTTATAAGTTTAATTGCTCTTTCCAGTACCTGAACAACATCCTGGCCATTTGGGCAGTCCAATGTATGTTGTCGTCGGTGGGCTGAAAGAGTAATGGATTAATTTCTGGGATGAAGGTATACTTGGAGGCTATGGTGTCGTTGAGTTTCTTGAGTAGTGTTTTCTTCTGGGTATCCAATCTGTGTGAGAAGTTTATTATAGGTATGTAAATGGTGCAGTCCCTAGGGTTAGGGTTAGGGTTTTTTCCACATTAAGTAACAAGCACGAGTTTTCAAGCCAGTTGGCTATTGCTTCCAAGTGCTTTGACAGTTGGTCTGTGATTGATTTAACTGATTTTCCATGAGCGTATATCACTATCATCCGCGTACATCTGAAGACCAGCCCCAGGACAAGATTCAGGGAGGTCATTTATGTACAAACTAAAGAGTATCGGTCCTAGCACCAATCCTTGTGTAATTCCTGTTTTACTCTTCAAGAAAACAGATTTTTTGTTGTTAATAATGACACATTGTTCTCGATTCAAAAGATATGACTCAAACCAAGACAGAGTTTTTCAGAAAAACTGTACTTGGCAAGTTTGGAAACAAGAATAATATGATTTACAGTGTTGAATGCTTTTTTAAGGTCCAGGAACACTGCCCCCACCAAATTCCCTTTATCTATATATAATTTCATTTTTTGCCAGAAGGTAGCAGGTTGTCTGTGGAGAATTATGGTCTGAACCCAAATTGTAATGGTGCGAAGAATTTATTCTGCCTATAAACTTGCATTTATTTAGGTATTTTTATTCTTGTGAAGCACTGCAGCAGAGATAAAATGAGTGACACTTATTGAATGACCACATTGACCACATGATTATTATTTTTTTAATTTTATTTTA